GGGCGCCGTCATGATCGCCATCCTCGCCTCCACCTTCCTCTGCTGGACACTCGAGGTGAGAGCCGCCTCGGGCACTCTCGAGCACTCTCGAGCAATCTCGGGGTATCTCGCGGTCGAGCTCAATCTAGTCGCATGCATCGTGCGCAGCCCCCTAAGGTAGCCTTTGGGGCCCCGTCTCCTGTGCAAGACGCTCGCGAGCTCCGCCGCTGCCGCCCTCGGCCGCTACACCGCCACCGCTACCCCACGGGACCCGAACCCACCTACCCCTACCCCGCACGGTACCCGAACCCACCGCTACCGCTCTCTCGGCCTCGTCGGCACCGCCGCTGCCGCCGCCCTCGCCGCGACCACCCCCCTCCCGCCGCCCCGCCCGCGCCAGGCGGCCGGGGAGAAGCAGTTTGTATACCAGCCTCAGTGCTGCCTCGGCAGCATCACTTACACGTCGGCCACCAGCTGGTGTCCCTCACCGCCGCCCTTCACGCCGAGGACGCTTCAAGCAGGAGTCACACGGCACTGACTCTACACCGGTTCGAACGCCAGGTACCGAACCCACCCTCCCCTACCCCACGGTACCCGAACCCACCCTCCCCCTACCCACGGTACCCGAACCCACCCCAGGTACCCCCGGCCAGGCTCGTCCTGGATCGGCCCAAAAGAGTTTCTTTCGCAGCCCGTCTGCGGCGGCGGGCCGGAGGGCGTGTTCGAGGTGCCCGGCTACATCTCCCCATATCTCCCCACATCTCCCCACATCTCACACCACATCTCCCCCAGATCTCCCCAGATCTCCCCCAGATCTCCCCCATACCTTCAGGTCCCCGGCTCGGCCTCCAACGTCGAGATTGAGGGCAACCCGGGCTTCTACGCCTCGTCGTGGTCCGGCGCCAAAGTGACCGGAAGCTTCTACAACTGGACCGTCACGGAGGCGGACGGCACGGAGCACTACGTCCCCGGCAAGGCGCTGAGCTACATCTCCCCACATCTCCCCATATCTCCCCATATCTCCCCATATCTCCCCATATCCCCCCCGGCAAGGCGTTGAGCTACCAGGGCAACGGCGACGGGCGCAATGGGCTCGGCAACAAGGGAGACTGCAACGACGTCTGCCACCAAATGTTCGGCGGCTTCGGCGGCGTCGTGCCAGGCGAATACGGCTACGGGCCTTGCTGGGGAACCATCATGACCGACACGAGCTGCTGGACCTCAATGACGCCGAGCAATGACAACCAGGTTTGTCACAGACACACACGCACGCACGCACACACGCACACACACACACACACACACACACACACACACACACACACACACACACACACACACACACACACACACACACACACACACACACACACACACACACACACACACACACACACACACGGCCCTCAATGCAGCCCCCCCCCCCCCCCCCCTTTTGTTGGGCCACCCCCCTTTTGGTGTAAATGTGGCCCACACCGCACCTTCCCTCACTTTTGCAGGGCAAAAAAGACCAACAAGGCCCGGGAGGAATCCACCTTCACCAGAATGTTGTGATCATCCCCTTCTCCCAGGGTTTGGTGGCCGCCTTCACCCGGGCCCTCCGGGGGGAGACCCGGAAGTTTGAGGGTCCTAAAAATATCTCAGCACCCACTCGCTGTG